ATTTATAATTTGCCATTCTTGTGCGCCTGTGCACATGTTGAATCATGCGTTAATATATGTTTCATTAAGGCATCCCATTCATTTTGTTTGGAATAATGGCAACAAATGCACATGCTGCTTTGATTACAATGTAGTGCACCACAACATGTTAGTGTGCAGCAGTGCATTACCATGCAATGTGGTGTTCTGCCATGCATGAGCATTTAAGCTGCATCACAAGTGAATCACACTGCAACACACTAATGCAAGGTAATGTTTTAACAATGCACTGCCATGCAAAAGTGTGCTTTTCTCTATAATTAAACATAGAGCAAACAAAAAAGTGATGATTTTCTACTATGATGTCAGTTTAGGTTGTTATTTTTTGTGCAAATTCAGCATGGAAATGAGTTACATTTTATACAGCTATTACTTTGGATTTTGGGGCGGTGTGTGTGTGGTTGAAATTAATGCACTATTCATAGTTTTTACTTCTGATTATATGGCCACATTTTCTGTGCAAAAGAAAATGTGGCTGTGCCGTTCGTCTGTTTTTTTTTTCAACGGGCGGACGGCAACTGGTTAATAGTGTTGTCTAAATTTAGGAAGAAATATTGTAGGCCAGAGCATAAAAACTATTTGCCCAAAAATTTGGTGACTAATGAAGTCCACTTTACTGATTCACTTTACTGATTCACCAATGGAGTGGATTTTCATCTCTTAGAAAGCAAAATAAATCTGAAATTATCTCTTTCATTGAAACATGTTTGTAGCATTTAATTGACACATTTTGTGTTGAATTATAATTTCACGGTGTCAACAAAATTCTATGAAAAAGATTACCCTGGAAAAAGATATTATGCAAGCTAAGCACCGAGTTTATAATTCATCAAATTACTATATCCCAGCATTCCTCTTCCATAAAGCGGTGATTAAAATATTTAAATTACAGTACATGGACTAATCAGTAAATCCTTTTGACTGAGGCTGGTCCAGTGACATACTGTAATGCAACACTGACCCCTTGAGTGCTGTAGAGGTTACGTTTCAGAGAATTATGGGGATGAGAAATTTCAGATGAAAAGGAAACATCCAATCTGTTTTTTGAAAATAATAAAGCCAAAAAATAAATCCTTTAGTTATTATTCAAATCCTGAAGCAGAGATTTGTGCCAAGCTAGACATTTTCATACGTGTTAGTTAAAAATGAAGGGTAAATGAATGAGAAACATAATTAAGGCACAATTACTAGGGGAAAAAAAGTTAAATGGGCAGATAAGTGACTAACAGGATTTAGAATGTTAGAATTAGTTGGGAACAGGACACACTAGCAAAATGTCATCTTCTAGTGCAGATAATAAAGATTTCTTGTACAAGAAAGTAGCTATTAGAAAAAAAACATCTTAGGTGCTTGAAGAAGAGCCTACGCCAAACAAAAAATTATTTTAAGCAGACGTATTAGATATTTGGATAACACAAGGATTACCAGTAAAAAGAGATAGTAGTTTCAACTGATGTAAATATAAACTGTTTTGGATTCCTAAACCCCCAAATATGTTCTTATAATATAACATTGTCCAATGTTGGCCTTCAAATAATAATTAGCTGTTTTGTAGCAATATAAACAATCTTTCTTCATTTACAGATCTGTGAATTATGAGATAGGCAATACACCATTGTCACAAAACATTACACATTGGTATTTCCACTAACATTTGATGTAATCACAAGCCTCTGTAGCTAAAATGTGCTATTCACTTTGACATACATTCTGACCTGAGCCATATTTCAAATGCATACATTTGTCTTTACTTTACAAACAGTTTCTAGATTTCATAGCTGTGGTCGATATATATTCAACTACGAACATTACTTCAATTATAAGATCGATCCTGGAATTTTTGGTACATCCTAATGAAATTATAGGATTAGCCCTTGACAGATTGGGAAACATGCTCATTTTTTAAAATGATGAGACCTCTACATTGAGTCAATAAGCATCTTTATTCTCTTAAAAAAAAAGTACACTGTTAAATTTAAGAGAATGCTGTGGGGTATATTCAATACGCAGTCATTTTGTCCTTGCAATATAATCTTACTCAAAAAATGTTTTACACATGTACCACATGTTTATGTGTTAATATGTCAAACTTCCATGATTATATTTTTTTGTATGGATTTATATTTTAGGATAGCGGTCATAGCAAATAATTTCTTTATGCCCACTGGGACAACTGTGCAGTGAGAACTGCTGGTTTATATCACAGATACCGCCTCACACCTGTTGGGTTGTTTCAATGGCTGACAAGCCTGACACCATTAAACACAGTTTTGAATAAATGGCTCTATAATATTAGGCTGTATCTGTGATATAAACCTGTAGGTCTTGATGTATGTGTAACCCATGGGCATAAAGGAATGCTCTGCCTGCTATCCTAAAATGTGGGATTTGTGATGAAACTAAAACATATAGAAACCTTCTGTTGTAGGCTTGTCTGTGATTTTAGCTAAACTAGAAATGCTTTGATCAGTGTTACCGCCATCATTTTTATTGAACATCTATTCTATAAAAGTGTTACTGACTTCTAAGGACAGTGTGCTACACATCAAGCTACCACCACTGCTTAATAGGTCCATAAAGACAAACATTCATATTTATGAACAGGCTAGAGGGAGGAGATAAGTTGCACTGGCACATGCTGCCTGTTACATCTGCCTCGGGTTAATGGGTGATCAAAACAGCTTTTCAAACCAGTTTGACTATTCTTCCAGCCAACAGCCAGCTGGTGAGAACAGTGACCTACCACAAACCAGAGATATTTGCAAAACTGTCTGAAAACAGCTGCATTGATTGATTGTCATTGCTAGTCTATTGGGAGCTGTTGCTGTTAGTAGTCTTTAATTGAGATACAAGTCAGATATAATTATTTTGTTATTAACATATATAACGAGCAAATGGCTGGGAACATCTGATAAAAACCTATAACTAGATGCTATCAGGTCTATTCACAAAAGGGTGAAGAGTTTGGAGAAGTCAGGAGAAGTGAACAAGCTAGGACAACATAGCTTAACTGGAAAGTGAGCTGAATTGGATAATTTTTCCAAATCGGCTATTTTGTCCTAGATTGTTCACTTCTCCTGCCTTCTCCAAACTCTTCACCCTTTAGTGAATAGACCTGTATGTCTTTCAAATGAACACAAAAGTGATATTAATATTAATCTGATCACATTGACATACCACTTTTGTGGGAATGTATAGTGTTTTTGCACAAACTACTATCTTTATTAATTTTTTAGGGTTAAAGATGGGAAACTTTGAGAAACATTTGATTTTTTAATTCAGTTAAAAATGAAATATCACACGTGACCACATTTACCATTTGAAGCCAGTGAGGGATGCTATAGACTAGGGTACTGATTGCAAGTTTTCTTTACTTCCTAACTTTTGTGCTTTATAGAGGGTAATTGAATTGCTATTTATAATGCTTTCTGCTGAATAAAACAGAGCAAGGACACACCTTTTCCCTGTATCTAGTGCATATGACTCTACATAGACAATCCATTAGAAAGATACAGAACACAAGTGAATAACTTATTAGAAAGCCCAGAATGTCCTGTAATCACTGTGTCAAAGAAGCATCCCATATCCCATTTCTAAAATTGTAGTTTGCACAAGCAGTTAAAATAGTGACATAAAAGATCAATTTATAAACTTTTTGAAAAAAATCTAAATATAATTTACTAATAATGTTTACATTTAAACAATTAAATTATTATAAATTTACTCAAATCTAAATGATCAAGAAAAATATTTCTTTATGATAAAGGTGTACTGGCACATTATCAACAGTCTCACACTTTTCTAACACAGCATAGAAAATGTTATATTTTGAAATAAAAATGGAAACTGCGTTCATCTCCAGTCTTGCAAAATAATTCATAAGGTCAGTAGATTCAAGCCCATTTTACTCGGTCATTAAATAAATATTATTTATTTCTGTGCTGGATTCTCAAACTTTTCAATCAATCCAGTGCCATGCACAGAACATTCTTTTCTATCAATATAAGATTTGTCAAGCTATTTTCTTCATTTTATACCAGGCTTGCAGAATCACTTATTTCATAGTCAAGTCA